AGGAAGGATGATGTATGGCGATTATCTTAAGATGAACCAATTGAACGAAACCTAGTAATTCCTGTCTTGAAGATGGAGAATATATCCCTTATATCTAGGGTAGGATAAGTGAAGAGGAAATCTACTTCGATGCTTGGAACATACTTCAGAAAAAATAAGACATGTAAATGAGAAAATCAGCTACATAAAGCAACTCTTAAAATACTTAGCACATATCAGTACTGCAGTAAGCCTCATGAAACAATTTCTGTTCAAATGATCAAGAAGCTAAAGGTATTTAAGCTGAAGTATCTATTAGTTTACTACCAAAAATCTCAAGCTGAAAAAAAGCCTAGCCATGTAGAAGTCATCAAAAAAATCTGAGGCCAGGATATCCTCAAAGCTGCCAGGCTCCTTAGCTCATCCCATCTTCCCTTGTAAACACATATGCTGGTTTGCAAGTCTCCAGGAACAGATGATGTCCCAAGAATAGTACTGCCTTATCGTACTTTACAGTCTGACTTTCATGGATGTTGCTGGCATCAGTGGGTTTGGCTTTTCAGGTGGATTTTTGGTTTGGTTTTTGTTTTTTTAAGGATTTCACTGATCTCACTATCTTTAAATGCATTTAGTTGTATCAATGCTCTACACACAGAGGTTAATATTAAAAACCTGTTATGTGAATTATCAGAAAAAACACAGTGTAGTATCTAAAGAAATGTTCTCAGTTCTGTAGCCCTAACAAATGCAGACTATACTTTTTAGCAAATACTTTACAGCATCCTGAGGGCAGCAAAGAAGATGGCCTTCTTGTGTAACTAAAGTACTATTTCAAAGCCACAAAACAGGACACACTGCTTCAGACAACAACAACAACAAAAAAGCAGCTTTGTAAATCCAATGCAGACTACAATAACAACAAAAAAACCAGGACATGCAAACTAAAGTCAGGAATTATGAAGAATGTGCTTTTGTACTTTAATAAAACATCTACAGAATCTATTTTTAACCTGATGTCATTGCATAAGCAAAAGTGGAAAGGGCATGCATCAAGAAGAAGAAAGTGCTCCCAAACAATAATACTGCATTAAAGTTTGCCAGTCCTTCCCAATGGGGAGGGAGGAATGAAAAAAACAAAGAGAACAAAAAACAAACCACAACCCAAGAACACCTTATGCACCACATATGAGAGTAAATAAAAACTTAAAACTGGGATCTTTGGGGAAAGCAAACAAAGCATTTTCTCAGCAAACATCAGATATTGGGAACTGGAGAATAAACTGTCAAGTTGTCACAACTAGCAAAAGAAGTAGAGGTTTGATTCTCAGAATTTATGAGAAATGTTTTCCAGAACAGTATTTAAGAAACTGTGGGGTTGCAGCAGAAAAATGTGTTACTCTAGTTAAAACTCAATTTTCTAACAGTAACAATAGAGAGCAAGGATACTTTTATTTCCTAAGCAAATTCTGCACCTGTAGAGGGCAATTAGGTATTCCCGACATCTCAGGCAATCCTCATTAATATAATCACAGGATATATGAGATCCACTCTTTCAAGGCTAACTGTAATTGAACATTGCGACAACGTTGCCTTAATCTCTGGAAGGGTTTCTTAATTCTGCGTTAGACAGAAAGAAAAGTCTTACCAACATCTTCTTTGAGAAGGTGCATGTCTGCTGATCCTCCATATTGGAATAAGGAGCCCTGCAAGCAAAAAAGGCATTTGGTGCCTCTGTAGGAGATGAAAAGGGGCCCTTTTTTTTTTCCCTCTCTCTTCAGGCACAGATTAGGTCACCTCCTTCTTGATTACCTAGTGTTAGTTAGAGGAAGATTATTTTTTCCTCTAGCCTTTTCACAGAACAAAGAATAAAACCCAGCCATAGAAACAGGCAGGCTGGAAAGGAAATACAAGAAGAGCAGGAAGGAACAACACAAAGATTTTTGGGCTCTCCACAGAAAATGAAAAAGTCAAAGAATGCTATTTCAACGAAAGATGCATTCAAGACTGAAGCTGATAGGTAGATCCCCTTGCTGACCAGAAGGACCAGAAGACATGACCCATATCAGAAACAAGTTTCACTTCAAAATAGAGACTGTGGAATTTAACAAAAAAACCCAACCCAAAACAAAAAAAAAAAAATCACCAGTATCCATCTTTCTGAAAAGCTACTTTAGCCAAAGGATCAACTTGAAACTTTCAGAATTGTGATGTATCTAATTTTATTTAACATATTTGAAAAATGAAAATGGAGGGTCATTATAATCATGAAACGATATCCTCACTGGTCATTAGCCAAAGCAATATGAAAAAATACAAAGTTAAAAAACCAAATCTGCACAATATTTACAATGGACAATTAATCTGTTCTCAACCCATATAAAAACATTATTCAAGAATATTACAGCAAGTGTTCTAATGTGTACTGGTTTGGGCTGGGATAAGGTTAATTTCCTTCACAGCAGCTGCTCTGGTGCTATGTTTTAGATTTGTGACCAAAACAGTGTTGATAACACAGGGATGTTTTAGCAATTGCTGCACAGTGCTTACACAGCATCAAGGTCTTTTCTGTTTCTCATGCTGCTGTGCCAGCGAAGAGGCTGGGGATGCACAAGAAGTTGGGAGGGGACACAGCCGGGACAGCTGACCCCAACTGACCAAAGGGACATCCCATACCACCACATCACGCTGAGCAACAAAAGCTGGGGGAAAGAGGGAGGATGGGGAGAACGTTTGGAGTTACGGTGTTTGTCTTCCCAACTGTTACAGACAATGAAGTCCTGCTTTCTTGGAAATGGCTAAACACCTGCAAGCTGATGGGAAGTAGTAAATGAATTCCTTATTTTGCTTTGCTTGCACACACAGCTTTTGCCTTACCGATTAAATTGTCCTTATGTCAACCCACGAGTTTTCTCCCCAGTCCTACTTGGAGGGAGTGAGCAAGCAGCTGCATGGTGCTTAGCTGCCTGCCAAGGTTAACCCACAACACAGTGTTAGTAGCCTTGGTGCCTGAATTCCTGTATGAGGGCCCCAGGTAACCTTACAAAACATTCTCACCTTCAGGACAAAGGACACTGAACACAACCCACCTGAATTTGCTAGACAAAGCTGGGCTGCTGCAGTGAAGTAAAAATGGGAAGGAGTGATAGAAAGCAAAGATGGCCTTTACTGTCGCTCTATGAGTAGAGCTGCCCCAAAGGGTAAGATTTGTGTGGGAAGAAAGGAAGAGTGACTGCTCTCAACTACCAAACTCCTTCCCCAGACACTTATACAGTAACCACTGCCTTATTTTTTACTGGGATTACATGAAAGAAAAGAGGCAGTACTTAACTAATGTGAACAACAAAACATTGCCCAAAAGCCACTCTCCAATTCTTCAAGAGAAACTGCCAACCGGACTATACCAGTTTAAGGAAGAAAACAGCAACCTTAAATGATCGTTATGCAACCTTCTTCAGGCTCATAAGAAATCACTTTTACACTTATTATTTCCACTGAGGATTGTGTTTTCAGCTTAAATCAAATACTTCTTTCATATATTACCTATTTCAGTCAAACAGGAAACTATGTTCAAGTTTAACCAAAATATATGTAAGGAAAAATTCGAGTATGATATCCAAGTGTGTAAACTGAATTAGCCTGCACATCACTTCCACATATAGCACTAATTCAGACCTCAGAATCAAAAGCACCTTCCATGAAGCGATCCTGATCCATGCATTTGCTGATACTTATAAAGATCACCTACATTTAATCATGTTTGCTCACATCCAGGCATTAACTCTGATCTCTAGAAAGACAGAAAAGTCTCTGTAACTCTAATCTATCTTTTTATCACTTCAGTGACTTGTTTTCGCTGTCCATTCTTTTTATACATTCTTTCCTAAAATTGGTGAGTATCATTTTCAAAAGACTAGCTTAATTTTCAAAGGAACATGCCTCCCTAGTGGCATAAAATGGAAGAAATATCCCTGTACCTCATAGGTCATTATTTAGAACATTCCTTATAGCATTAATGCTTCTATCAATTCCTATTCTTATGGTCAAAATTTTGTCCTAGATCTGACAGGCAAGCAGAATTCTTACAAGAAGCAAACAGCTGACTTTCCTTGGCTTGGATGTAAAGCATATCTCATTTTATGAAAATTGAAAACATATGCTTTGTACATTTGTTTTTCTTTCCATTTCAGAAGTTAAATGATAGATGATTTCATATTCAAGTCCTCATATTTGCACATCAGAGTCAAGTACTTGGAAAGTAAAGAACAATTTTAGGGCATTACTCTATAAAACTTCCAATATGGAGCTTCATGTAACCTGTCAAACTACCAACTAAACATTTAACTGAAGTGTAAGAGGGTGCAGTTCACAAATAGTCAGAACATACTACTCTGAACACCAAGTCACAGATTTGGACCATAATATATTTTTAGCCTCAAACTTAATTTCTTTCCTTCAGAAAAACAAATCATACTCTCCTCGGTCTGAACCTAAATCTTTGGACATCACTTCAAACACATTGTTTCCCGTCACTGTTTGTTTTATGAAGTTTGTTGCAGCTTTAGATTCCTTGCTGTTTTCAGCTGAAGCTCTACACTCTGAAGACACTTGCTTCTTAAGATGTGTGACAGTAAGCAAATCTGAAGAAAACAGAAACAACTCATCCTTTGCCTTAATTGTACCTCTACAAAATGAAGATAATTTTATGTTTGAAAGCTGTTCAGATAACTACATCATGTGTACCAAGAAAGAGAATGGTGCAAGTACAGCTACTAAGTATTTCTTCTACAAATGGAAGTTGTATTATTTTACTTCTGTTACAGCCATATAGCCTTAAAGCTTATTAAAGATTGTATTACTTAAGAGAAATAGAAAATGAATCTATTCATTATAGCAACCTTGTGGGAGAAGGAACGTAAGATACATCTTTAAGGATTAAATATAAAAAAAAATAAAGCACATTGTGGAAAACAAAGACTAGTTTTACCATAACATCTCTCTAAAAATAGCTCAGGAAATGAAAAGGTTAGAATACACAGACAATATTGTAACATCCCAGACTCTGAGCCTCAGATCCTGTAAAAGCAATTAAAAGGACAGATGTCAAACTTAAATAAAAAAGACTAGGAAAATTCAACAGCAAAAAACCAGCAAAACAAAGATAGTGTATCATGCGGTGACTCTGAGTCAAACTAAGCACAACTGTTTTTCTGCTTCAGTTACAAAAAGGAAAAAAAGGATTCTGCACATACATTAAGATGGACTGGCTTGACAGATCTCCAGAAGAATCAAATCTCACAGTACAGAGCCCAAAATTGCACCTTCCAGGCATTTAATTTTTTTTAAAAGTGTAACAAAGTGTAAGTTAAATGTTCCTTGCTAAGAATAAAAGCATGACTTTCCAACTTTGTTCAAGGTAAAGAAGAATAATGAAACTGCTTCTCTTAATACAATGTGCCAGAAACTTGAAATAAAAACGATTTCTAGCTATTAACTATAAAATTTTTTACAGACACTATAAATGCTAATTTAAGTGACTTGACTGTGTGTAGTAAGACTGCTGTCTGTACAGAAGAAATTTCAACCTGAACAGCTTTTAAACCAAATAAATCTTTTCTCTATTCTCAGAGGATCATTACAGAAGTACTTAAAACACCTTTGAAAACACTTTCCCCCACTTCTCCAAAAAAAAGTCCATTCAGAATCCACATTCACCATGGTTTTGCAAACAAAACTACTGATTACGAGATGTACCTTATTTTATTACATGCATTTAATCCCCAATCTTTTGAGTATTTCTACAAGCAAAGTCTTGTACTTTAGAAGTCAGTTTAGCAATTTTTCCCCTCCACATGCTAGCACAAACTATTCTAGAGGTAACTATGTCTTGTCTCCACAGTAACTAATGCCAAGGGTAGTATTTTACAAAATGGCTTAACAAATATTTGGGTTTCTCTATACCTTTTGATAATGCTAAAAGCAGTTTTCCCACAGGTAAAATAACAACAGAGCAATACCTTACCTAATGCTTTTTTGGCAAGATGAACTACAGGCATTACCAAAATGCCCTTTCAACACAATAAAAAGCCTACTCTGAACTCAATGAAATCAAAGTGAATTAGATTCGTATGAAGTGCTGAAATATATTAGATATTACAAAGCTGTTACTTTCACATTTAAAAATTAAATATAGCGCTCACTTGCACTTACCAGAAATATACACAGAAAACAAGAAACTAGGTCTCTCCCATTTTCCCTAGTGTTCTTCATTGATGACCCATTCTTTACACTCTGAAATTCTGCTAGGTAAATAACTTAAAACTTTTACTGTTGAATACCTAGGGAAAAAATATTATTCTCCTAATTTGGGCTGAAAACAAGAATACTACCAGCATAGGTGATAAGTTACAAAAAATGTCTTTGTATGAATACTGTAGATGAGAGCTACACAACTCTCTTCAGTAGCTAAAAGCAGAAAGTCATGTGTTTCTTCTTGTCAAAGATGCTAGCAACTCTTCAGTCAAGTTCTATTACTGTATAAGCAAAAATTAAGATCGCTTTATTGAAATGAAAAGGAATACTCTTACAGTCCTTTTAATATAGTCAAGATATCTAATCATGCATTTTAACTCTGTTGGTAAAATGAGCTTCAAAGAGGCAATAGCTGAAATACTTCCTAAACATTAGATATGGTTCATTTACCACCCTGTGACTGGGCATTCAAGTGCCTAGATTTGTATCACTTTAGGCAAATTAAGGATACGCTTATCAATTTAGTTCTCAGAAGCTCCAATTTTAAAAAATTTCAGTATGGATACAAGAGAGTGTTCAGAATGACCTGAGTTTAGTTCAGTTAATATCTTCATGTGTATAATCCATGTATTACATGAAAAAAAAACGCAATTTAGCATGACCGCCAGTTACATAGGTGAGAGGGTGTAATTTCATAAGAAGCTTACTTCTTATGAAGAAGTCCTCCTTCCTAATGGCCTGGATTCCTCTCTCTCTGTAGCTTCCCAGCTCCAGCCTTTCATTTCTCAAGGATTATCTGATGTGTGGATTATTAAAAACACAAAACAAAACACAAACAAAAACTCCAATTGTTTCACTATCAAGTTGTGTGACTCTACAAGAAAAGAAAAACCACTGTGTGTCATTCTCTTCCTTCTCATTTCGCATTTTCTTGTTTTAAAAGAGATACCTGCATTTGGTAGCTAATAGCAAAAAGGGTAAGAACAAATAACCAAACCAGTATTGCTGCTTAAATATTATGGTGAAAATGAGTGCATCCACAGGAAAATCTTTAAGTTTGTCTCTCAACAATGGACATTTCCATGATGCACAAATAAATCTGTTGATATTAGTTTTGCATACAGTCTGCCAGATGCATCTCCCCCTATAATTCTGACATTTTAAGAAACTGAGATTTTGTACAGAAGTAAAGGCAAATTCATTCTCCCCAAAACAACGATATTTTTACTGAATAGCCATTCTATTAAAAAAAATGGAGAAATTTGTTCTAACAAGAATCAGGTTTAAATGCTAAGTCTGTCTGCCACCATTTTTCCATCAACTTTCAATGACAATCTAGTACAGGTTCTACTTTCACAAATCATTTACAGTGGTAATAGTAGTATGTATGAGTAATGATTTTTAGACGAGTTCATAAAAAACACAGCACTGTAAATTCAAAAGTAATCTCTTCGAAAAGCTATAAGTCTTACTAAAAGGGTATTACTTACTATGATCAGCTGCTTATCACCATCTTTTCCTGCTTCTTTTAGCTTCTGAATGTGTTCCTCAGATGGTAGGAAGTTACTGCATTTTGATGCTAATGAAGGATTTGACAATGGAACCCTTGAAATATAAATATATTTCATGTCAAAAAGGGACTGCTTATATATGTCATCCCAGATACTCAAAGCTGTTGTGATTAGTATAACTGAAATATAACGAGATGCAAATCCAAGTTAATTACCCAAAACACAGTCCTATGTATTTTAATTTGTAATTCAAATGGAAAAATAAGGAAATAAAAGGATTAACCAAAAAAATAGCGTTTGTGACTAGTCTAGTTACTAGCCTAATTTGTTTTAATGATAAAATGTAAAAGACTAAATTTATCATCAAGTGGGGTAGGTTAGTCACAAGCATTAACACAAGAATATGACTGAGGCATTTTCAGAGCATGACCGATGGTGCCTAACACTATGTATTTCCTATGTAAGGTTTAGGTTTCTAGGTTTAAGTATCATACATCAGGCTGCTAAAGCAGACTATGTAAATATTCTCATAAATGTAAGTGGGCAATACAAAACAGACGTCATAAATCTCTCAAATTCAATTCAAACTTATTCTCTTCTAATGGCTGGCAGTGAAGGGAGGGAGAAGAGGACCTGAGAAATAAGTGGATGGGTATCACTGGAATCTCTCATTCAGTTTAAGTTTCCCCTTGTTATGACTGAAAGAAACACTGGAAAGTACTATAATACATCGACAACAAAGTTATTCTATGAACTTGCTACTATATTCAGGGGTAAAATTTCCAGGTTTGGATAAAACTTGCGGAGATCACCAAAGTAACGCACACACAAAAATACTCAAAATACACAAAAAGCTTTTACATATTTTCTGTTTCTGAGCAAACTAAGGATACAGGGCCAAACACTCAATTGTAGCAGCTGCTGTAGTGCATGTAGCAGGTTAAATCAGTGAGATTCTTCAAAAGTAAAAGCTCTTGCCAGACTGTTTTAAAACAGCATTTCTGTGCTAAATCAGAGCTAATTTTTTTTATTCCTATCACGTGCTCCAAAATTTGCATTAAGTAGCTACTTCATGGTTTGCCTTTTCCCACTGCAACCTTTTCTTACAAAACCCTAAAGAGAGCTACACTGTAGATATGCACATTATTCTGTGTTATGGCAGGGGTACCACAGAAAGAACAATGGCTTAAATCTTGGATAGCGTATGGAAAGCAGGATAAGAAAGCTCTCCCAGGAAAAATATATATCCATATAACAGTGAAGCAATATGGGCTTGTTCAGCTAATAAAGTATAATAAATTTGAGTAGATACCACAAAGCTGTTTGGCAGTTGAGAATAAAAATATGAAAAAAATCAAAGCTATTGTAATATTTATTGAAAAAATCTAAAAATATTCATTTAACCAGTTTTACATCTACCTTACCACCATTCTGTGAAATCCCATAGCAGCAGAGTTTTTGAACATGAACAAAAGGGCTGGTTAGTCAGAATTGTTCACCTGGCCTCAGACAGATGTACTGAAAATTAACTGCATCATTTTATCTTGTCTCCATTATGACTACAGAAAACAGTACCAATAGACTAACCACTGTGCCAACGACATTGCTGTTCAAGGTATTAGGTATAAAGAAATTACTATCTTTAGCTTGTAATTGGCCAAAACCAGAGACTATATCAGAATTGTTCAAAAACTACAGCAGTCAACGTGATCAAGGATAAAATGTAAATTTGAACTATTAGTAGTAAGAACAATTTAGTTAGTAGTAAGAACAAGAATCATTTTTTATATGGCAGCTGACACCTTCATTTCACAGCAATCACAAAACAATCCCAAAATAAACTCCCTCTTCCCCACCCAAAAAGATTCCATATATATAAAACTCCCATAATTTAAGAATTGGAAAACTCTTCCAGAAGTCAGTCAAATAATTCAGTATATCAGTAAATAAATTCAGAAAAGCATGTGGTAAACCCTTCCCACACTGTCCAGTTATCATCTGATTTGAGGAACAGACATCAATAGAAATGTTTTCCCAACTCTGTTAAATTCTACTTTTAAAAATAAAGGTAGAGTTACAAATATCTTACTTAATAATTTTCTTAACAAAGTAAAAATATCCCTTAATTACTGGGTAAAATAAAAGTCTAGTTTTACAAAGGACAAGTCACTTATCTGAAATTGAAAGTTGAGGCTGAGAGACAACAGGACAGTTAGTCTTACAATAAAACCTCTCATAACGCTATGGAAGGTTACTGTAATTTCATAATGTATGAAATACTATACCTGTTCTCAGTTTCAGAAGTTTGATTTGTAAATGAAGTTTGCGTCAACTGCTTGGGAGCCAAACCTATAATCAAAGATTGTAACGTCATTACACAGTTCTTAGTTGCAAAGGAAATTTGAGCTACGCAAATAGTGATTTGCAATAACATATTCGAGACAATGTTGCAATTTGTTCACGGCCAATAAAAGAAGATGCAACCTTGAGGCAGTATTCAAACGTTTCTCCACATATACTTTAAAAAAAAGGCAATTTTCTTCAACATTTCCACAGCAGTTCTGCAGAGCAGTTTGCCACCAGCTAAACAAAGCCAGTAATGCAACTACACAGGAGTTTAAATCTGTTTATACCAACACCCATATAAATAGCTCTACATATAATATTAGAATCATAAATGTATAGTACGCCCCCATCTCAGGTGTGTTCTGTAACACTTCAGGAAAAGAAATAATCAAGAATAGCAAAAGAAAGAGAATGTAAAAAAGTTTTTCCTAACAGTACAATTGGAGTATTTTGCCCTTCAAAAATACCCTACAATGGCAGGAAAAAAACCCAAACTATTTAGTAAAGCTAAATACTTAAAAAATGCACTTAATATCAGGTTCAGATTTTAAAAAAAGGAAAAAAAATAAAAATCAAACGGAACAAAACTAACCAAAAACCCCAACAAACCAAAAACCCAAAAGCAAAAGTATGAAATATCAAGAGGGAAGTTAATGAAGAGGTATGTTAGTGATCCAGTGATAATATTTCTTAGTCAAAAGTACTTGAGTCAAAATATTCACATCACACTCATCATAAGGTTTGACAAATTGCATTGACAGGCAGATAAATGAAGACTATGTAATAAAAACAGGAGAGTGATTACTCAATTAGTAATTAGGTCAAGATCAAGTAGAACAATTTAGGAGAAAAAAATGCAGACACTTAGTCGAAGCAAGCAGTAACCAACAGAGAATCCTTATCAGAAACCAATCCAAGAGAAGAACCCAAATGAAACATGGAAGTTTTACTACTTTATTACATGGAAAAGGAAAGATTTGGTTGAGGGTTTTTTCTGTTTGTTTTTTGTTTCTTTTTTGTTTTTGTTTTTTTTTAGTCATCACTTCACTTTTACTCATATGGAGCATATTTAAGCATTAAAATATTCATGCATAAAGCACAAAGATGCACTAAAAGCAGAGCTGGGCAGAAAAGCAGATACCTCTCTTTCCCACGACACAGCCCAGAGATAAAAGGACATTCGCTGCTACTCAAGTGGCCAGGGTGCGACACACAAAGAAATATGAACAAAAGAAACTGAACAGTTCCAATCTCAGAAGTTTAGTTCTGCACCAACTGTACCTTATTCTGTGAAACACTCATCTGAAAGGAGGCCTTATGCTTCCCATAAAACTGGTCAGAAGAAGAGGAAAAATTAGTAGCAGTTACCTTGAGGTTCACTTTCTCCGGGTTCTTTTTTTAATTGTTTTGGTGGTTTAGGAGCTGTAACATACTTTACTGGAGAACTTTCTGGACTTGATTCCAAATGTAATCGAAAGTTCTAAACAAAACAGAAAACATTAAATAAAAAACAATGAACTATTTAACGCCTCTAACCTATCAGCAAAAGGTTGAATATAGCACCAGTTTTCTGATTCCTACATTATTTTAAGCAAACAAATGCAATGATTAGCCAGTCCATATTGAAGTTTGTGGCACTGATTTTGCAAAAGATCTGTTTGATTTTAAATATAAGCTTGTAAAATACTTCCTATAGAACACCTTTGTCCTTAAAATCTTATATTTTAATAGAAGTTCATTCAGATAGAGAACACTTCCTTCCCATTTCTTTTAATACACCTTTTCAGAACACAACAGCTATGCAAGCTTAAGTCATCAAAAAGCGTCCATATGAATCTGTACAACCTCCGGCTCCAGCAGGAAATTTTATCGATCAACAGAACTCAGGAGGGTGGAACAGATTCATTTTTCAGCTTACTATCGTTCCATTTATGACAACACACCAGTCAAAGATCGTTAATGCGTTTGAAAATTTTAAGTTACTGTAAAATAAAGTAATTGTTAAACTTTCTGAGCATGGCATTCTCAGAAAACAGAACAGATTTAGAACACCCTCCCACCATACACCACAATTAAAATTACTTACCTCATCTGGTCTTGGCTCACAGAAATGTTTTGTCAAATTACGCAACACACCATTTTCTGCACCTCTCTTTGTGGGCTGTTTTATTTCTAATGTCACTTCTTTAGCTCCTGCTCCTTCAGATGAAGCATTGGATTTCTCCTGCACACAAGTTGTACTTTCATTCTCAGAGAGTCTTGTTATTGACAGCTTGTCTTCTGCCTTCAAAAGCTCTGCTTCTGTAGCTATTTGATTTGCCTCTGAAACTTCAGGGTAATCTTTCAACAAAGCAAGCTTGGGGGCATTTGCAGAATTTAAGTTACTTTGTTTCATGTTACTAGCTTTCAGTAATTTAATTTTGGTCCATTTAGAGTTTTTGTTTGAGGAATTATTTCTACCATTGAGAGTGCATTTGACAGGCATTGCTTTTTTGCTAGGGAAAAAACGTTTGCATTGAGTACTTTGACTGGGTTCTTTCTGAGTAAGCATTTCACTTTGTTGAAGCTGTATGTTGGCATGCTTTTCTTCTGTTTTGCTATACTCTGCGTTAGGGGAATCTTTTTTCACCTCTACTGTATCTGACTCAATCTCACCTGCAATTTCTTCACAAAGTTCAAGGATGCTTACCCTTTTGGATTTCGCATCACTCTCTGGCTGATCAGCCACATTTGTTTCACTTACAGATGGCTGTGAAATCTTTTTTGGTTTTGTACTGGTTTTTATGTTCTGATGCGTTTGTTGCTTTTCCTTAGTTACTGTCTTAGAACTTGGCTTAAGAGAATCTGTTTCCACTTTCGTTGCGTTGCTAGGAATAGGACATACAGGGCTGGTTTGGTCTTTCTTAACTTCCTCAAGACTCCCATCAGGATATAACGATGACCCTTGAAGGTTGTGTTGAAAGCTGTTGGAATTATCATTTTTATTGTCTGCTTTACATTTTTTCTCTTTCAGAGAGCTGGTCACTTCTACGTGTATTTCTTTATCCTCACTTGTATTGCTTGGCTTTATTTTTGTGTTTTTCTGTTCCGTCTTCTCTCCAGCAGATTTAAGTACTTTTGTTGCAACACTGTGAGTGTGTCTTTTTGCCTGGCTACTTTGTTTAACTTCCAAAACTTTTTCTTCTTTAACTTCTCTGTTGCGCAGGGATCTTGCTGGTACATGTACATGTGTTAACTGCTGCAGTCTCTGTGATCTCCTCATTACTGGCTCATTTGGCGCAATTATGCATTTTGACTTAGGAATTTCTTGAACAGATTTTTTCTGGCATACCTCCTTATTTTTTGTAGATTTAGGTTGCTCTTGGACCTTCTTGTCAGGTATTGTTCTATTATTCAAGTTGAATCCTGACGATCTTGTAGTCATGCGCGTTCCTACTTCAGGCTCACTGGCGTTGCCACTGAAACATTCAAATAATTATTTTTTCAGCATCCAGAAAGTAGAATTTGTCATAGACTCATTCCTACTAACCTCTGCCTCTTTTTTTTTTCTTTTCTTTTTTAAAACACTAGATCTTACACCCTCAATACTTTTAGAATTTTCTGTAGAATCATTCTAAAAAGACTTCACTTCCACCTGGTTACTCTTTAGTGTATTACTTAATGTTTTTTATGCATGGCAAGACTGAACTATGAACCCCAGATGAATGCTTTTTAACATCTCCAGCAGTTTTTAATTGTTGACACTTGTGGCTTTCAAATGAAGTATTGGCTCATACAGACTAACAAACTCATATAGAAAATATTAGCTCATATTTTCGCTTCAGAAATATTTTTGGAGGAAGTCTTTCTGGATTTCAAGACACTAACATGTTTCCAGAGAAAGATCATGTAGCAGATATCATACTTAATGATTTAAGGCTGATCCTCCTGCTAGTACTATTTAACTATTTAGTTGTACCTTTAACTCAAATTCATTCAGATTGTTTCTGCACTCATTTAGTCTATGAAGATAACCTAGAATAATTACTTATTTTGTCACTGACCTGTTTGATTTGACAGAGGTTTTGAGTACAGTTTTCTCCTGCACTGCACACTGATTAGACTTTGATTTATTTGAGACATGTTTTGTATCTGACACCTCTTTTTCCTTCTTCACCGATGACTGTTTGCTGTTCTTGTCCAGCTTTGGACGTTTAGCAGAAGGCTCTACTAACATAGACTTCCTTTTCTGAGCTGCCATTTCTGTAAAACACAGTAATTGATTCAGATTTTAAAGTCTTTTGCCAACTGTTGTTACAGTGTCAGTTAATACAACCAAAGATATGCCCGTTTTACAAAATAAGGTAACTGATATTCACTTTTCTTTTTAGAGGCAGATCATGCTAACTGTGATCAGAAACAACGCATCAAAGCCATCCCAAATCAAATTACATTTATTTTACTTACAGGTTTTTACAAGAGGCAATCGATGTTTAGGCCAAAGTAACTTATCAAGGTGTGCCAAGAGCATTCCTTATGTATATGCTTACGAACAGGACGTTTCATGCCACCTATGAAGAATATAAAATGTTCATGCAGTAAGCACTTTATTAACTTCCTTCTCAGACTCTGAATTTGGCATTTCCACCCTCTTCCATCCCTCCAAACAATGCTTACCTTCAAAGTTTCTTTGATAATCGACAAAAAAACCAAACAACTCACAAATTTTATTTCCATATCCAACAATTCCTGGCATTTTGCTATCTTAAGCATTACCCTTTTACCTTTCAAAAGGTGGCAGATAATAGTGCTGTTCGAAAGGAAATTTCTCAGTCTTTCACATTTTTCCAGAAAATAGTATGCTGCTCCCTTTCATAGCTCGCAAAAAAGTGGGCTTACTGTCAATCCTGTGCCTCACTGCAACAGTGATTAAGTACATTAGACTCCACTATGTTTTGTGGCTGCTACTACAGAATTTCGTAGACGTCAGCAACCACCTATAACTGTTCCTTCTAATATGACTTAAGCTACAAATCAGAGACAGAAAGCCTAGCAAGTAGCATTATTTCAGACATTTGCCTTGGGCAGTTAAAGGTGATGTCGTCATGAGAACTGAAATGATGTTCACGATGCAGAAGTTAACCTGCACTACAGTCTGAAAACTAGCAGAGATCCTCAGTAAAAAGTCTTCACAGATTTGGTTGACCACACCTTTCACATCTATTTGTGGCTTCTGAAACTTTTAAGTTCTCTTATTCAAAGACATTGTCTTTGTATTATGGCATAATAATTGTTCAGCAGAGTTTCACTGGTATCTTTTTTAAATTAAGTTTACTGGAAGATTGAGTGCTCAGAACTTCGTGTCACCTTTTTAGGTCCAGAATTATCTTTTTGCCACTGACAGGCTGACAAATATTTTTGTAAAAATTATATTATTTTTCAAACTAATCTGATGTTAAATTTGACAGATTTTAAAGTAAAACAGGAACTTTAAGTTACCAGTTGTATAATACAGACCAGATACTTTAATTTCATCACAACTACAGTAAGCCTCCCAGGATTGACAAATGCATGTCTAACAATTTGAAAAATACTTACACTAAGCTCCTTTTAATAATTATTCATTATCCAAAAGGAAAAAGTAAAGACCTGTACTTTTTCTTTTCTTTCAGACTTTAAATAGTCCTTAACTTCATTTTCATTTATTCACTCTTTTATGAAGACACTTCTAACCATACAAGACTGGTAACGCTCAAATTTCAGACACCAGTGCTGTCTTCTGACTTTCTCCTTTAAAGAAGCTGCATGACCAGCAACTCATATTTGAGATATGTTTTTTAATTCCATCCAGGGAAGAAATCTCTAACACCACTTTTCATGGTTCTATTTCCATGTCTCTCCCTAAGAAGCAGGCAACAGAATCTGTATGCCTTACTTCTAATAGCTCATGAGCTCCGTGACACTTTGCAAGCCTGCAGGTTTCCACTAGTCAAAGATTATCCGTCAGAACCACAGTAGAGTCACTCACGCTGAAAATAACAGCTCTAGTTGCTGAATAAGTCTTCGGTCTTATATTCTCTTAGTTTAGAGCACGACATTGACTCTGGGAAATTGAGAACACCACGACACACACTGTATACACCTAGACCGTCTTGTTTTTTTTCCAGATATATACAGGCATCACTGTCACTCTCAACCACATGACATAGCATACTCAGAAAAGACTTTCAAGTACAAACCAGAAGATACAATCCTTCCCTCACCGGTATTGCTTCTCAGGACACTGACAAATACACTCTCCTCCCACAAAGAGAACTAGCTCTTTGATAGTCATTTCTTTCCTGCTAACACTTTGCACAGCACAGCAAGGACTTTTCCAGACATTCAAGAACTGGCAGTTTCTGCCCTGAAGAAGTCCCCTCTAGTAAAAAACAGATTATGGAAAGAAGGGAAGACACAGAAGTACGAGAACAAACTACACAACAGTCAAAGGGTTCGGTGCAATAAGTATAGGAAAAACAGAAGCACACACCTCCCACACCCTCAAGTCCTTAAAGCAGGGGCGATGCCTTGGTCTCTGCTGAGACGGGGGGCTCAGCCCCTTGACAGAGCGCTGGGGTCTCACCCAGGAGCCTCCCCCACCGACTGCCACGGCAGAACCTCGCAGCCCCCGCGCCTTAACTCCCGGCTGAGACCCCACGCCCGGACTCGAGAGGACGAGGGAAGGCCTCCAAGCGTGGCCCGGTG